GCGTCCTTTACCCCCAACATAGGCTCTCTGCTTGACGTAATGTCTATGAGTCATAACAGGCACCTTACATTGCATAGAACTTGAAGACTAACCAAGGGAGCTCACCAAAAGTCGGAGCATCGGAACATCAGCGGCGACCACAGCCAAGTGCAGCAGAGTGATGCCACCATCCTCGCTACTCCATTTACACCCACACTCTGTGTCGTCATGGATAGACGGATTGCTCCTCACAAAATGACAACCTACGAGAAACTCTGCGCAGTAGTGTCGCTCGGCTTGCCGAATTCTATTGTCCACAAGACAAGAAAATCGACCAGCTGAAAATACTCATACTATAGTGAAGATAGTGTCGGTGGTTCTTCCCTAATAAGATAACTGCGACCAAACCCATCCTCGAGATGCTCTTTGAGGGTCTCACAGCAGAGCAGAAGTAAATCGATCGTCCTACCAGGGAAGTCTGCGCTGCGGATACTCTCTGTCGGATCAGCCCCGAACGAGAGAAGACATTGTACCTGATATCGGCAACCGAGGAAATCAGTTCGAGTACAGCATAGGTGCAGCCGTGACACACTCAGAGTCGATTCACAGCAGAAGACACACCAGGTGAGTGTTCTGCCTCGCCACTGCTATGCTTAATGGTGTCCACTCGCTACCATCACTCCTTCTATCCCTCCCATTCACGTACTTCCGATTCGTGAGTCGACACAATTCCTAATCACATAATCACAGAAAAAAATCCCCTCGGATTTCTTCGCTCACCTGCACTAGGTTCAGGTTGCCACCCCAGACCGCAAAGTGCAGGACTGTCCATTGGTGCTTCAACGAGGCAGAACTCGGGTCGCCACCGTATTGCTTCAACTGGGCAAGCACTATTATCAACAATACCTCACTGTTATCACCAGCAACATAGCGGTTTTGAAGTGCCCGCCCAATGCAGCCAAGTGGATAGGCAGGAGGCCCTCATCGACCATATCAAGATGGAGCAGCGGGAACCCCCGATCTGATCGGCAGTGACTAATGCAAGTGAGAGTCCCACACCAGTACGCCGGCATGGCAATGACAATAAAGTACGACTCAAAGGTTGATATTTTTTCATGATGAATATTCTTTCAAGAGTAGTAAAAATATTGTTCATCATGAACATGGCTACCCCAAACCGAATTTTATATCATATCATATATGAATCACAGATATATAAATCCAAATCCATACTTCCCAGTGAACGCACACCCTAAGTGTAATAGCTCACTTCTAGGTAGCGCGCCATCATCAGCGTCACGATCTGGGTCGATCTTCCCCACCCTGACTCTTCCACTGGCTATGTCATTAAGGATTGCCGAGTGTATGCAGACAGGCCCAGTCCTCATCGACGGCTAGCGATAGATATCACACACAACCCGAAGCCCTCGATCCCTTCCTTACCTTTGCTCCGGCCTTCAACAGCAGCTGAGCTGCACTGACTTTACCTTTCAAGCAGCATACATGCAATGGTGTCCACTCCTGCATAAATCTACCACGGGTCGACCTCTCATGTATCAGGCCTCGGAAATATCTGAAACCATCAAGTCGGTCATGGTGGTCCACCAACATCATTCACTTATTTGGGAGGTTTTTTCTCATCCAATCACGAATGGTACGAACGCGTGTATGATAATAGCAACAATTCAGAAGCTTCCAATCAGATCTTCATGGAAGTGTTGATGTCATGAGAATCATCAGCACCGCACATGTCGGGACTAAACCTTATAGCTCGCTTCACGTTCTCGAGCAGGTTGGTAGTTCTAATACCAATCAAGTTGAGCACATATTCCGATTGAGTTCTCATTGCGACGCGTTGCTTCCCCTTACAGCCGTACCGTAACAGCACACGATGTACGTGGTCATAACCGTAAACATCGTGAAACGGCCATCCCTACTTCAGAGCATGCGCCATCACATCAGCTCCATCATTAGCCAACTTCCTGTTGCATACCTCAGCAACAATGTGCAACTGCTGTAGGGATAAGTCAATCACAAGCAACATCGACCCACCACTCCAAAGCCATCAAAGCGTGCGCTGCTGTGGATGTCCGAGGACTTGGTCAGAAACGCTATGAGGACTTCGTCATGCCCTCTGCTGGCTGCCGAATGAAGTGCCGACCAGCTATCCTCAGAGTACTGCATAGCAATTATCTTTCCACAGTGAACCATAACACTAGGCGTTACATAAGCCATTGCTGATGTATTCGGATGTTCGAGGAGCGCTGTAACGATATTGTAGTGGCCACAAAAAGCTGCGTGTCTGAGAATTACAGTGCATCACCTTAACACCTTCGAACGGTGAAGACCTCAGAGGCGTCCTGCAGCTCCTAATAGCATGAGGCGAATAACACTCATCCAGCACTAGAGCGTCGAGACCGGTAACAGCCAACTCGCGATTCACATCGGACTAACACGTTTGTCCGGAAGTCGATGGTTCGAGTACTGTGGTGGACCCACCAAATGATTCTTCTCGATAGCAGCGTGTAGTGCCTCGAGCCTTTCCTCGTAGTATACACAATCCAATGGGGTTTGAATATCCGGGCCATCGATCATCCCTTGGCACGTCGTGCATTGAATGCTCCTTTCGTAACCCTTCGCTTGAACTTCGATAGTAGAGGCCAGAGCGTCCATTCAAGTTCAGTCTGTTTGGACATGACATCACATGAGCCAAGTCGACTCATCCGACACCTAGCGGAGGCGTTCCGATTGAGCGGCTCGCGGTGGTTCCACATACTCCTAACAATCAAGGTCAACTCGTTGGGCCAGTTTATTCGGCGAGCACGAAAGGATAGATACGTTGCGTCGACGCAATATTTAGACTATTGGCAGTGCTTCGAAAATCAATCGAGACGCAAAGTTACATAACATTTTTGGATCAGGCATAGTTGATTTTCCTCAATCCACAAGGCCGGAACGCGGATCCAGATCCTCAATCAAACATATGACCCTAGAAGGATCATCCTCCCACTCCTCGTTCTGGGCCAGTATGCGGATCCTGATCCACAGATCAAGCACATGATCCAGATCACTCGTTGATCTTGAGGTCTGAGCTAAATCTTTCGTGATCCGAGATCCGTGAGTCAGATCTGTGATTCTTGATCTTGATCCGTGATCTTTGATCCTGATCCTTGACCGTTGATTTTGATCTCTGAACTTTGATACTGATCCGTGATCTGTGATCTGGACCTTGCGTGATCCTCATTTTTGATCCTGATATATGATTCTTGAGAAAAAACTTATTCCGTGATCCAAAGATCAAGGAGTTGAGCAATTCTCAGACGAGTTGAGAAATTTCGTTGATCCGTGATCCGTTCGGCTCCGAGGGATCACCCTCTGATTCGGATCAAGTATTGAATCAAGCTGGGGCTTTTTTGCTACGTTACACTACTCGTGATCCGTGATCCTGATCCCTTCAAAATGCTACATACATACTTTGTGGTACAGAGACTTACTTGTAAGTGTTTACTGAGCCTCAGTAACTGAGGAGATTAATGAATTCGTAGTAGCCTCCGTAGTACAGAGTCCGTACTATGTACGACTCGTACAGTACGAGGTACATTAGAAGAATGGAATTCGACACGATGGCCGTTCGTGAACCCCATTTAAATGCTACATTTAAAATCCATAAACTTATTACTGTAGGTTAACGCCTTTTGAAACCATTACTAAAACCCAATATTGTCCCTCAATATCTTACACGCGTCTTAGATGTCGCGTTACAAGTATCTCTGAGATACTTGGATTGAAGTCGATATTAGACATTCTCAATCCTGATTGATGCCTGTCAACTGGAGGATGGTTAGCCACAGTCTGTGGGTCGACTACAGCCTCGTGGTTCGATTTGTTTTCCCGCTTGCCGTGAGCTACCCTTAGGCTGTTTTGGGCTGTTCCGAAAATCTGTAAGATATGGACCACTCCAGTTCTGCTATGGTCCATAGCAGAACTGCGTTGTCCGACTGCGTTGTCCATAGCCTATGGATAACGCAGTCGGCTTTGACCTAGTTTTCTTGGCCAGTCACTGCTTGGCAAGCAGCTATATTTGCCCATCCCATCGTTCGCGTTACTAGGAGTTTCACTTGCAATGACATTCGGCCACAACTCACTACTGTATACACGTCTGCTCGATCGGCGACGCGTGCCGACACAGGATGAGCTAGTCTTCAACAGCCATTAATTTATCGAACTCAAGCAGATGATATGAATTCTGCTCTCTCTCAACAGTACTAGACTACACTACTGGTAATTTAGTTGGTACGTATTACTGTACGATACATAATCAAGCGGCAGGTATATTCCAACCAGCGCTGCGGAATTTATTTATATGTTCATTCAGTCTCGATTCCCACGAGCGCTGTCGTGCCTGAAAATTGATCTTATATGACCCGCCCAACTGGGGAGATCATGAAAATTCAAAACGAGTCACAATTCCGCTGCTGCATGATTCATGTACATTAGTGAGGAACTACTTCAGGTTCTCCAAAAAACCGTTTCGCGCGCTCAGACATACAAGATGATGCAGTACCGGCGAAATGATCGCGTAATGCGATCAATACCACTGTACAAATCAGGGAAAACGATATGCAGTCCTTACGAAGTCGGAAATTGGTAGCACGTCGGGCCTCCGCTCGATGGCCGCAGAGATAGCTTTAGGCCGGTCCTTCTCAACAGCTGTCAAATGTTCAACCATGCTGCCAACGAGAAGCCATCCCGCACGGCCAGAAGATTCGGGATTATACCTACGATCGCAGAGAGTACTATCAGATCGGTAAATTACGATGTAATAGGCGGCGGCCAGTCGCAAAAAATATTATAGACGATCCACGAGAGGATGCCAACACGAACGGCCAATATGTTGGCTTCTTCGAAATTAGGTCTCGAGAATACTGTGTTCGACTGCTTGCGAACGATGCGGGCACAAATATACTCACCCGCCTTCCGTGCAGCACACCATCCGTCCGCTCGGCACAATGCTGGCCAAATACGGGTACAGCCAAGCAAACCTTGAAGAACAAATAGTGGAGCTATCCGTTACAACTGCTTTTATCATTTTACCATTCTGGCGAGAGTTTACAGTCCATACCAGGACCAGTGAATGTCACAGCCGCGGAGGAGTGATCGATCGCATCAAATCCACAAAGTAACACCTAGGAGGATTCTCGAGCGGATGCTCTCAATAGTGGAGACGGGAAAATCATTCAGAAACTCGTGAAGTTCTAGCATAGCTTGTTCAAAGGTGATGCGCGCGTCATCGCATCTAGAACCAAGCCAACGAGCAAAGCTATGTACAGCAATTCGGGAGCCGAACCCGTGACCTAAACTCAGTCTAAGAGGGCGGGCACGACAGTCAACCCATAAAGTTTTAGAGCAAATTTAGCTGCGTGGCATATAACGAGCTCAGTCGCTTCGTCGGGAAGACCACGAAAAGGATGGCACCAAAATACGAGTCTACAACTAGCCTATGGCGCCACTGAGAAGACACCTATATGATGCCACCTACCACCACATCTGGCCGCCACTGTTCTATCACCGGCCGTACTATGCGGGTGACCACATCGACGTACTCTCGGTCACCTTCCCCTTCACTCATCTCGAAGTTGAGATTCATGCCGATCGACTTAGGAACAGCTTCGTCACCTGTATCCAATCAATTCGAAATATTACAAAGAACGATTCGTCATTCTATCGACTCGTACGACAATCTCTTACGATTGTTCCTTACGTCTCATAGCGCTACGGGAAACGTGGTGAATCGCGTATTCGTGCCTCTCGCACGACGTGCGAGAGGCCGAGCACGATTAGATCCGTGCATGAAGTTTTCTTCCAATGCCGGTGGGCGAGCAAGTGAGAATGTGGTAGTTGGTTAATTCAACTGATGACCAGTCCGAAATGTTTATCCTTGGTTTATGTTCATCCCACGCCTAAGCCGGAGGAAGGGAGAGTGTCGTCTCAGCATATTGCATCGCCGATATGAAGCGCTTGGTATGACTAGGTATCATATCGCATCTCACGTCGGTCGACTAGTTAACGACCGATATTTTGATGAGAAGGATGTCAGAACAGACAATAACTACCCAAGTCTTCGTGCCATCCTGTTCCCGGCATGACGTACTCTCCAGTACTATCCGGGCCATATCGGTGTATGGAGAACGTCAACACTCGCGGATCATCGTAGAATGCTGTTTCGTTACCATTGCCGTGGTGAACCTGCAGGAGACGGAGCAACCTGCTTACTTCTGAATCGATAGAAATCATCCTCACGTCAACATCAAGTATCATGATTCTTCTTTCCTCTGAGATCGAATTAAGCAACTGTTTGACAGCAAACGCTACTGCATTTATAAAGCAAAAACCAAGACTAATCTGAAAAATCACAATCACTAGAGTTAATGCCACGGAATGGCTCTCACCTCGTTCCCAATTGGTAGCTTCCGTAAAGCTTCTTCTTCAGGTGAGTCGATGCTCCGTGAGGAAAAAGGTGGCTCTGATTCTGGAATTCTGGACACTCGCGTTCCTGGCCTGTGGTCACCTTTCGCTCGGCTTTGACACACACTGATAAGCAAGCGGCAGGCCTCCGCCTCGGCAGGACTGATTCGATCTTCTGTACTAAGGCATTGTGGACAGAACCTAAGCGACTTGGATATAGGTCGCATGGCCACTCCACTCGAGGCCGACCAGCATGCCCCGACTCCGGCTGTGAAAGCGGGGGAACGAATGTGTCGTGTACAAGAAGAGAATGAGGATTCACTTGTTGGGTAGTTATCAGAGTGTCCATCACACGAATGAAGTGTGCGATTAGGCGGTGAATCACTCTTCCGAATTTCAGAAGAGTTACGCTAATTTCGACGATGTGTGATACACTTGACTCATGCACTTTCCAACCTCGCAAGATTACTTCCTGAAAATTCCCTTCCGACACGCTGCCGCGGATTTCTACTCGTTTTTAGCATTTCTGGTCGAGTTTCAGGTTAGATTATAGTGAAATCATCTTACTCACGACCGGGGTGGGATTAGACACAAAGTGCACAACCGACACTGAGTATGCAGCCGCAATCCTAACCCCACCTACCATCTGCCAGTCCTGAAGTCCTTCATAAAGAGGACGTCGCGACCAAGAGAGTATGGGAGGCAAAACGAATGCCATCCTTGACCACAGTCCGGATTGTCGCATACCAGTAGACACGGCTCATCATCGCCTCTCTCGCATCGGCAGCATCTACTCAACGAGTGGATATTGCAAAACCATCAAGGGTCGAAAGCATGCGCTACTTGGCAACGCGCACTTACTTGATCGATTCAGTACTATCGAAGCTTGTCGAAAGGGATTCCTGAGGAAGAGAAGGAGCTACATAAACTCAGTTACATTGACAAGAGAGATGAAGTGTTACCAATGGGCTAGACACCATTGGGATACTTAAGATATCATAAAACTGAACCAATTCCATCAACACGATAACGGCATTGAATAACATTAAATGTGTGTACAAATGTTGAACATTTGCGCACGGGATGGAAGGCACAATCTCTCTAAAACCACCAGTTCTAAGACGATGCAGTAGTAACCCCTGAGTGTACTTGAGAGCGACCTTCTTCAAGCCCCAGACGGAAGGGCACGTGGTGACATGCTGGACGAGCAAGGACTAATGCTACAGGTGTCTCTCCAGAAAGGACCTGCGATACTCCCACTTGAGCAAAGGATTACCAAGACATACAAACTCACCATCTGGAGGGCGTCTCTGGTCAGTCCACAACGCAACAGCGTGGCACTGAGGGTGTGTTTATCCATTATGCATTCGCCCGGCACCTCAGCACGTCGTCGGCCGATGATAGAGTAACACCGCTTCGATGCCAAGTCCACCGCCTGAGAGAGCTCATCAATGGTGATCGCCTCTAACTAGGGTGGTTTACTCGCTGTTTGAAACCTGTCGCTGTGTTGATATATCTGTCTACGGCTCTCAAGTCTTGGAGATAGTCTTCACTATGTACTCCGGTAGCGGCGACCTATAGTGTAGCGGCGATTCATACCCGACCATCTCAACGCAGCGATGATACGCGGAGCGCCTACCTCCTCCAACGTGACAGCTTGCGAGGCTTCGGACACCCATTGGCATGCATTCGACAATGTTCGGTGTGCCTTCCGAGACACCCTCTGGTGCCTAAGCTTCTTCACTATCTCCTCCAACCATCTGACAGTTTCGTTATCAAACCAACAAGACTGAAGCATCGAGCTGCACTCACTTTCCCCCCTTGTCCTGACCGCCACCTTCATGATCTACAAAAATCGAGTTGAAGAATATGACAGGTCTGGTGAAGGAGAGTGTCGATAGCGGCGAACCATGAATGCTAAGCGATCGATTGGCGTAACATTGCGAGATATACGTCAAAGCTCACCGGCGTCTATCCTTCGAAGAAGCAGACAAGTCGCTAGGAGTAGACTCGGAAGTATGGTCTCTCGATAGGGGCGAGGCGCTGCTCGACTGAGAGACACGGAACAGCGTACAACGGAAACTATGCTTTCTGAGAATGAAGAGGTTGTCGGAGATGCTCCTCTAACAGCCTTGTGAGTCGAGAACAAATTCAAGGTGGATGAGCAAACTATACGTCAGTCGACAAGCGAGGAGAAGCCCTACGTCCAGGGGAGTTTCTCCCGACAAGTCCAGTGACGGACTCGACGAATCGTCTTCAGTAGGCAACGCTACTCGTCGACGTTTTCGCGTCGGTAGGGCGGTTTCCCCTGGCGATGACGCAGGAGGCGAGTATCGAATTCTAATAAAGACATCAACCAATACGAGAAGCTTCGTCTAAGCGAAGAACGTCTGAATCGCTAAAATGTACGGTGACGGCGAGGTTTCCTCGATACCACTCTGAATGTGATTGAGTATCCACTGAGAATACTCCACCATAGCAGTTGGTGATAGCAGTGCTTGACCACAACACGTGGCATGACGGAGTCCGCCAAACTCTTCGAACTTACGGCACATCATCATAGGCATCTATTCTTCTTCGTGCAGCTTCCAACTCCTCTGGGCACGAATCACCGACAACCATAGACTCGGCCTTGTCGACGGGGAGGAATTCGAAATCCCCATCTTCGTATCGTACAGAGGCGCCAATATGATAATCATGCCTGGAGGGAACATCCATAGATCGAGTCGATCTGATCGACTCGCTGCAGACTTGATTGCTTATCGGATAAATTACTAGAAGTTTCAATAACTAATCTGTCTGTGCGTTGATGAAAATTGTCTCATGTCAATAGCGGGAACTTCACCCCATACAGAAGCTGAATAAGCTAGGGATAAGAAAATTAACAGCCGGTAAGCTCAGGTCATCCCGAAATCTGGGGCAAATGAATTGACCGCGCCTCTGAGCTTGAGAAGCTGGGACGCTGCCTCAGCACCTCTAATACAGCTGTCAAACAATCGTACCACGCTTGCATCGTGGAATACAAGTATGAGAATCCCTCGACGAAACGTCATCGAGGCAGAACCCGCGACACGGTACGCTGACGGCACGAGTTCAACGTTACGTGGGGAGCAACCAATAGCCTGGCGTGCCGAGTCGACATGTTCGCGCGGTATTGCCGAGTACGCGTTTGAAATGTTGTGATTTATAGACACCAACGGACCGTTGGTGTGTACGCCATATCTATAAATCGGCAATCCGTTGGCAACGGAGCAATGAGCTCAAGAATCAACGACGCGCACAACCTTACCGCAGTCGGAGTCCGATTGTCGGACGAGTGCCAACATGGAAATATCAACCTACCATTACTTACCACTTCATCACCTTCCCAATGATTCGGGATGACTCAAGCTGCTTCACGACCATCTTACCGATAAGCCATCGTGGATCCTCACGGTTCTGTGATGGATGTCGCCACTCCCTTCTCCGACGACCACTAAGATGCACAGCACGTATATGATTGCCGCTCGAACACCTCGGCAACGCAGAATTCTCATCGTCGGTTCTCAACAGCACGCCACACGACATGACGTGCGGGAGCTCAGAGTATAGATCAGATCCAGCTGATTGCTCATCAGTCACGTGAGTCTCGGCTATGGTTACTTCTCATCACTGATATCAAGCACTTCAAGGTGTTTCTCTGACACAACCAGCCACTTGTCGCTCGATCTCAGTTTTATCTTCCACCTACGAAAATTGGAGTAAAATGTTGCGAGGACCCTGCTGCGAGGCATGATCGTGCTGCGCAGCGTGCGATAATGATGATAAGCAAACGAGTTGGAACCATGCGTTGAATACTTGTGGTCATAATAGTCGTGGGCTATCCCCTCCATGCCGTTGAAGTGCCCCCTAGCTGAGAGGCCATAAATTCGCACCCGACATCCTGAAAGCAGAAAATGCTACATAGTTGCAACTATACGGATAGATGAACCATAATGATGGTGTTGATACCATCAAGTGCTTGCACAGCACCCTTCCATGCAAACCTCAAGGACGATCGACGGTGGATGACAAATTCAAAGCCGACGCGCGTCGGTCGCGTTGCACCGTGGCACAACAAGTCGCTACGAAGTTATCGTAGACTTGACAAGAAAAAACCAATGAACAAGCGCAAAGATAAGACTTCAAATGATACTATCATCGTGATAGTATCACGGCTGATATTACCAGCCTAGATTATCAGGCAAAACACGAGTGCGCCCGCCCTCTTATCTACTCAAAATTTCAGATCGTTTGGCGTGGGAGATTGCCGAATCAGTAACCGTGACTGGAGCTGACCGTTCAGCGCATTTCATATGAGTATATTCCAGTGTATCCAAGTCCCACCATCATAGATGGAGTCGTAGACAATCCCGTTGCTAGCAAAACTAGGCGGGGGACGTTCTTCCACCATCTTCAAGTTCCGGATACTAACTGCAATATCCGATGTCCTACCACATCTTGATATTAGAATGTGGGCACAGCGCTTCTCTTCGTCTACCTGAGAGTAGCTGACTCTAGGGGGACAAAGCTCGACGCATCGTCAATGACGTGAACGATCACATTTATCAAATCATGTGTAAGTTGAATAACACAGCTCGCATCTCGCCACTCCACCGTACCGTCAAGATCTCTCCTATGAGACCGTTGAACTGTGCCTTCTTCAATAACCCATGTATTATGACGGTGTCTCCGCGCCGCAAATATACCATACAGAGAGAACTGCTCAAAGCCAGCTCGAACAACGTAATACCCGACCAAGATGATGCACCATTGGTGAACGCCAAAACTCCTAGAATTGATGAATAACAAATTCGCGGCCGAGTCAGGAAGAGCCTGCCCCCATTTCAAACTTCCTACGACCATTGCGTGTTTGGAACACGGTGAGGTTCGCGAGCTCATCAGGCTGATGACATCAGCTACAAACACCCGTAACGAAATTCACTGATGAGGTAGATAAACGTGGTGCTGCTGCAGCACTACTCCAATTAAACGTCTCTTCAGCAGCACGATAATCGTGCCACGATTTATGCAGTTCCCACGGTGCGATGATGCGCCAGGAAGAATCTGAGACCAAAGGCTTTACTCGGTAGAATCTACCGGGAATAGTGTATCCGATGACCAGATCATTATAACCCTGAGTCATTACCCAATGCACTCGAAGGTGGCAGGACCAGAGACGATTTTACGATCTCATCATAGGCTGGGCTTTTTGGCGAAGTCGCAGATATAAATTTCCACAAGACATGATAAATCCATGTAGAATAATATCGTAGGCATTCACTGTTACCACGAACCTTTCTACCCCGGTCAAAACTCACTGGGTGGCCGACACATATCTTTCATGGACACCCTCAACCTTCAACGAGATTTCTGGCAGAGTCTCAAAGAATGGCATTCTTCCGCATGATCTCGAAGACCCGATCTCCCGCTCTAGGCAGGAATCTCCCTTGTCCGAGACAAGCTGAACGTGCTAATGAGGCTGAGCAAGCTGTGGCTGAGAGAAACAGCCAATCTAGAGTCTAGATTCTAGACGTACCCAACATCGCCAGGGATGCGAGGGGAGGCAAGCAGAGGAGGACACGGACGAGGCTCACAATCCAACAGTTGAATTTCAACTCACCATCTTCCAGAAGAGAAAAGGCTGTGTGCTCTAGTGAGTGCACTGATCAACGTCGTAAGCAAGTTGCTTAAATGCAACTGGTGTAGGATGAGTGTCTAGCCAGTACTACTGACTCAGTAGGGAGCCCGCGAAGCCTTCCACGACACCACCGCAAGCCAACAAAACTCTCGTATTCCCGCCCTCACGGGTCTTCCTCTCCCATTGCGCAACTTCCTTTTGGATACTCCCAATGGACCTCCATTGAATGGAGGTCCCCATGTCCTCGGAAAATCCACCAAATCTTGTACAGATCTTTTTAGAAACCGCTATCATGACATCCTCATCAATGGGAGGGTTGATCATAACGGGACTTCCCTGGAAACCTTGTTCCCCAGCTGGGGTAGGTTGATTTCCAGCCTCATTAACTATTGGATAATAAGGAAAGAACCTGAACCAGATGGTTACAGATACGGATGGCACAATAGGGACAGACATACTTTGTGTGTTAGAATACTCATCCTAGACTGGCGCCCCCCCCGGAAACTTACTCTAAGTGCACGACTCTCTTCAATAAGATGGGCGATCAAATCGTGCAGAGCCTCGAGGGTGATCCTAGTTTGAGGCCTGCGTGGTCTCGGGGGCTCCTCTCCTCTAATTCGGGAAGTTAAGACTTTTCTTCCAAAAATATATACCAAAAGGACAAAGCCAGACTCGGACTTTTTAAACCAGACAATGACTCGAAGGTCATGATTGAAACGGCGACGACTCTTCTCGAAAGTCATGATCTTAGAGTCCGAGACTTGAACGAGTACCATATCAAAACCTGGCGATCAACGCTTCATCATCATAATGGATGTTCTGTGGGGCAA